TTGTATAATATTTTCTTTGTTCATCTTTATCATATACATTGTAATCCTTTTGCTTCTACATCACAGGTTCAACAGTGTGACCAATCTTGATTCATACACTCACAGCAAAGCCTCCATCTGTCTCATGGATTATAGATCTAAATTGGTAACTATCATTTGCTTGCAGTAATTATTACCAATTATGTTAACAATTCATATGTTTTCTGCTTTTGCTAAGTCTCCCTTAAAGTACTATATCATTTGCGAAAATTTGCTTCAGGTTATGGTATTGTTTATTTTTATCATGAACTTTATTCTTTAGGTTATGTACCTGGGCTGTAAAAATCCATTTTTGATTGAAATTTGCCATTCAGGTTCTGACTAGGATTGAACTTTATTCCTGAGAATGAAGTAATTTTAAAAAAAGATTATTTTTCAGTTGCTCCAGTGCCTAAGGCTCAAATTTATATAACTGAAAAATGACTCAAATGTGAGGGTTTTTTAAATAAATTACCATACCTAGAACATAACATGGATGAATTTTTGGATGATTTTGGGAAAACCAGTAGAGATATTTCACTTTTGACATGTGATTATGGTACATGTGATTAACATTTCTCATGGATTTTTACTAGATTTGTAAGTCCAGGAAAAGGAAGGAATCTCCTGGGTTATATAGTCCATTTCCTCTACCTCCCCCCCCCCAAATTGTTGACTACAAAATAATTTTAATAACTTCCTGTTGTAGCCACAGTAGCTTCTTGTATAGTCTTGTCTCGAATATCTTCAGAGAGGTCAGAAATGCAGCCTCCCTTGACAGTTTGATCCATTGTCTACTTGAACTTAGAGGCGTGTTTTTTTTCCCCCTAGGATTCAGTTTTCCTGCTTTAGTGTAAATGATTCTGCTTTGACAGTTGAATATAACCCTTTCTTTGTCATTTACTGGTACCCAGAAGTCAAAATGGTAGGACTCTACTCGTGCCCATGTTCCTTCCCTTGATAGCTGCTGTTAACTCTTTCTCCTTCCCATCATGGCTCCCTGTCCCTGGTGACAGCCATATTTATTTTTCCCTCTTTTCTGTTGGCTCACTTTGAGTCCTAAGTGGCAACTAGGAGTAATTGGACAAAAGTGTATATATAAAGAAAGGAAATTTAGGCTAAAATAAAACTGGAACATCTACCTACTGGTGACAGATCTATTAGGCTGTAGAAAGTTTCTCAAGAAGAAGGGTGGTGGCTCCATTGCTTAGAACACTTAAAACTAGGCTGGACAAAGCACTAGAGAAAATACTGTTGTAAAATCTTTGTGTGGCCTCAAGGGATGTATAAAATGCCCTAATATATGTCTCTCATCTCTACCTTTTGAAATCTCCAGTCAGAATAAAAATGCATATCATCTGGGTGATAAAAGGTGAAGCAGTTAACAATGTTGACATGAATTTGTCATTATGGTTCAGAGTCAATATCCCATAGAGATATGGGGGCAATTCACACCTCTCAGATCCATTGTTTCTCATTGTCTGATTGCACATTTAGAAGAACATCACTCTGTCAGTTTTCATTCAGACCACCTTTCTACCCTACAAATGATTTTTTAAAACAGTCTTATTATTACAGTATCTGGAAACTAATAGATCGTCCAGAGCAGTACACTAGTAGAATGCCATATAGCTCCTACTCCCATTAACCCATGTAAAGAATTTAACCACAAGTCCCCCCAGAAGTTGGCTTTTCTCTGTGTAGGAGATATTCTAAACCAGGCATTAGATACACAATACTGGCATTTTCCTGGTGCCTCAGTCAGTTTCTGCATTGCTTTTTGCTGTCTCACACTTGCTTTAGACAGCAATATGTATTCTGAAATAAACAAAAAAATTGCTTCTTTGTTTATGTCCAGTACAACATTAATCCACATTATGTATGCCAAAGAACATGAGTTCAGAGCTATTGCTTTATTTTGTGTGTGTGTGTGTGTGTGTGTGTGTGTGTGTGTGTGATATATATAATGACTTTGTGAGGGGCTAAATAATTTGGGAATTGAGATATAGAATCTTTCCTTTGTATCTTAATAGTTCAAATCTAATCTGGGTTAATAGTAACTGAAAGTTGTTACCATCTGATGGTGTGATGGCTGCCATCTTGGTGGACACTAGGGGTTGAACCAGGGATCTCTGGAGATAAACACATAAGCCTTTATAGATTAAATTGAAGAGCCAGCCGCTGTAGCTGGGCAGTAGCAGACTTGCATACTCTGGATCTGGTGCAGAGCAGGACACATGAAGCCTGACCAGTAGTGGGCTTAGTGGCTCTGTGATGATCTATGTGAAATGTATATGGCTGTTTCAGTCCAATTCCCAGTGAATGGACATCCAGGCTGGGAAAAACAGCACTACAGTTGGCATTGTTGCTGGCACTCTCAGTGGAGATGGCAAGAACTGACTGGATCCTAGAGACAAAACTACCCTCTCACCTTAGAGAGGATTAATGCACATTGGTAGGGGAGAGGTGAGGAAGCTGTCACTGCCACTGGATTTTCTGAACTTCTGATGTAGAAAATAAAGGATTTAATTCTCCAGAGATTTCCATTTGCAACTTTTCACTAGCACTAAATTCACCTGGAAATTATTAGTATGAACCACTATGGCAATTCCTATTCACTTACTGGGAATGAATGAGAGTTTCCATCCTAGTTGGGATTGAGTATAATTTGGGCTGCAGATGTCTGACATGCTTTGTCATTCCAGATTCCCCTGTTGTTGTGCTTGGAAGAAGTTACTATGGCATCTCGCACCAATTAATTGTACACAGCTTTTCATTTGACCAGTCATTCTGGGCGTGGCTCAGAATGTCTGAGTACTTTATTCACAGGAGAAATAACACTGAGTGATGATGGGCATCATACTAAAAATATCATGGCTCCACAATACAGTATCACACAACGTAAGGAGTAACCTTCCCAATAATATGGGCAGATCATATCTTGAGAACGAAAGCACTTGCTCTTCCCATTGCCAATACATTTCTCTAAAATAGGCTACCAATGCTAATAATGCTTTTACCTGAACAGAAGTGGCTGGTTTGGGCGAACAGACCACACCTCTTGATTTCTTTATAGGGTATCTTCAAGGGCATATGACTTTCAACAACTTTGCTTCTCAGGCACAATGAAAATTACTACAAAGGTAAAGCTCATCTGTGCAGGAAACAGATTTCTCAGGGGCTGCTCCTTGACTGTGGGACAAACTGCCAAAGGAACTAAGGATCAAGACAAACTTCACCACCTTCCACTCCAAGTTGAAGGCGCATTTCTTTGACCTTGCCTTCTCTAAATATATAGCTGTGTGTGTGTGTGTGTGTGTGTGTGTATATAATTAAACGTTTATGTGAGAAGATCAGGTGTGTTTATAGCCAGAATGCCCAGGGATTTTTATAAAAGTGTTTCCTTTGAAAGGGTCTTGGTGCAAAATGTAGTCCTCTGGTCAGTGTGTATGCCCAATCCACAAAGGATGTGGGTTTGTTACAGCCTCCAGCTACTGAGCTTGGATCTTTAGCTCAACCCATCTCTGGCCTCAAATTACAATGCTGTCTTTTTAAGGGTCCAGCCGATTTCTGGGGAGACCAGGCTTTCCTCAGCTGCAGTTATTCAGAAGGGTCCTTTGTCCTAGCAGATCCCTTTGTCCTCATACACAGTGATGAGCTGCCACAATCTTAACAACCGGTTCCCTCCTCCTCACCCCACGAGGGGGTCGTAGTCCGCCCCTAACCCCCGGGACTCCTGCCCCATACCAACCCCCCGCGTTCCTTGATGCCCCCCCTGGACACCTGGCCCCATCCACCCCCCTTCCCTGTCCTCTGACTAGCCCATCCAACCCCTCTCATTCCTGATAGACCCCTGGGACCCCTGCCCCATCCAACCACCCCTTCTCTCTGTCCCCTGACTGCCTCCCACCGCCCCATCCAACCCCTGCTCCTTCCTGACTGTCCCCCGGGACCCTTGCCCCCATTCAATCCCCCTGTTCCCTGCCCTCTGACCACCCCGAACTCCCCTGCCCTCTATCCAACACCCCCTCCCTGCTCCCTTACCGCGCTGCCTGGAGGTGGCTGGCGGCGCTACAGCCGGAGCCGCTGGGCCGGAGCCAGTCGGCCGGAGCTGTGGGGCTGGGGCCGCTCGGCCGGGCCGCGCCTCCCTGGAACCTTCCTCACGCCCCCCCCCTCACCCCAGCTCACCTGCACAAAGCCGCCACTTGCTTCTCAGCCCTCCCAGGCTTCCCGCGCGAACAGCTGATTCGCGGGAAGCAGGGGAGGGGGGAGGAGAAGAGGGGAGGAGGCGGAGGTGAGCTGGGGCTGCCGGCGGGGCGGAGAGCTGCCGGAGCTTTACCAGTTGTTAAATTTAAAAGACCTTTTAGAACCAGTTGTCCCGCGTGGGACAACCGGTTCTAAAAGGGCTTCTAAATTTAACAACCTGTTCCCGCGAACCGGCTCCCACTCACCACTGCTTATACACAGACCAGAACAAGAAATTGGACAGTGTAATCATAAGTGCTGGAACTATGGGTGCTGGGGGTGCTGCCGCACCCCCTGGCTTGAAGTGGTTTCCATTATATACCTGGTTTACAGTTTGATTCAATGGCTCTCAGCACCCCCCACTATAAAAATTGTTCCAGCAACCCTGAGTGTAATCTGCATGACTATTCAAGCAGAGTGCAACCTAGTGGTTGGTCCATCAGGCCCTGGCTCAGTTTCTTCATGGCCAGGGATGAGAGAGGATTCTTTTTCCTTTCTCCTTTCCTCTGAGAGCCCCCAAACCACTTCCTCTTCCTGTTCAAGTAGCTGCTTTGCTGAATCCAGACAGACATTCTCTTGATCCAATTGGCAGACAGAGTGGATTCTCTGGGGCAGGGCAGGTCTCCTCCTTGCTCTAGCATGGGGTATGTATACCTCATCACAGTCAGTGGAGCACCAGTGTAACTGAGATCAGAATCTGGCCTACTGTTTCTTTCAGTTGCCGATAGTCCTAATTTCCTGATGGACACATTTTTGTCCTCCTGGTTTTGGTTCTAGCAATGGGAAGGAATTATCAGTTACGCTGATTTATGTGGTGTTTTCCAACTGTTTTCTCTCATATCTCACCTATTGGAAGTAGAAATGCTTTTCTGTGCAGCCAGC